CTGCGTCTGGGCGTGTTAAACCTCAGTTGTAAAACTTTTAGCCAATCCTAGTCGAAAGTGTCAATTTCAGTACCAATTATTCCAATTCTTGTATCTCCCATTTGAGAAATCATAGGATTATAAGGAAAGCACGTGATGAAACGTTGGTCTCTGGATTTTACAATATGAATGTAGATGGTGCTTATTATAGTAACTGCCACTTTATGTAGAGGTTGTATTTAGTACTGACTTCTGGAAAAAACTGCATGGGATGTACGTGACTTTTATTTTTTTTATATAGTAGCTTAAGTCATGCTGCATGGTATATCTGTTTATATTAATCGTTATATTGAAAATTTAACTCAAAATAGATATATATTTTTTAGGAAAGAAGTTGATCCACGATTGTTAGGGTTAAGAGTTACCGAGTGGCGAGTGCAAAGTATTTACATGAATTAGACTTAGAACTTTGAACTGAAAGAGTTTGCGTATTTTTTTATATTCATTTGAATTTAAATTTGTAGTTTTAAGCTCAATAATTTAGCATAATTTTATATTTAGTTCAATAATAATAATAATATGATTCAGTATTTAGAATGATAAACTTGTGTGATTTGTACGTAATACTACTAGTACCAGTACCACAAAAGAATTTTATATTTTTCCTTCTTACAATCTTTGCTTTGTAGTAAGACCCACACTTCTGTTGTTATTGCGTTAGAATTAAAACAGTCTAACTGATATATATAGTTTATTCTGATATTTTGCAAATGGTTCAAACTCAGTAGTGACAACAATAAAACCCATATGTTGGTTGTGAAACAGGCTAAATACATTCATCCCAATAATACAGGGAAGCTATGACATTCTCACAGTTGGGGTCTCAATACATTGAAGAGCTTAAGTTTCGCATTCCAACATAAATCTTGTCTGTAAAGAGCGGAATGTGACCAAGACTAATCTTTTAAGTACTGTAAAGTAATTTTCTTTGTAATTTATGGTTGAACGAGAGTGACCACCAAAAAGGGTGAGATAGTTTACGGACAATGTACAAAGTTCACGCTGCTGACCCCACGGTTTATTCAGCACAATAAACACAAAAGTACCACTGCAATGAAACAAACATAAATTTGAAATAAAAAT